AAAGAGTTCATCACCACCAATTAGACATTACAAGAAATATTAAAGGGACTTCAAGCTAAAATCAAAGGATGTAAATAAAATGAAATGAAATGAAATGAAATGAAATGAAATAAAATAAAATAAAATAAAATAAAATAAAATAAAATAAAATAAAATAAAATGAAGGGCTGTTAGTAATAAAAACACATATGAAAGAATAACTCTCACTAGGAAAGTAAATATATAATAAAGGTATTGGACTAATTACCTCAGAATCGTCATAATATGTTTTTTCTCTTAAAACTTTTTTTTAATATATTTTATTGATTTTTTATAGAGAGGAAGGGAGAGGGATAGAGAGCTAGAAACATGGATGAGAGGGAAACATCGACCAGTTGCCACCTGCACACCTCCTACCGGGGATGTGCCCGCAACCAAGGTACATGCCCTTGACCAGAATCCAACCTGGGACCCTTCAGTCCGCAGGCCGACGCTCTACCACTGAGCCAAACCGGTTTCGGCTTAAACCTTTTTTTTTTTTTTAACTTTTCAGTACAGCCTAGCTGGTGTGGCTCAGTGGTTTAGCACCGATCCATGAACCAGGAAGTCACCTTAGGATTCCCGTTCAGGACACAAGCCCAGGTTGCCGGCAAGCTGATCGACAATTCTCTCTCCCCTTTCCTTTCTCTCTCTGTAATCAGTAAGATAATAAAATCTCCCGCCCTCGCCTGTTTGGCTCAGTGGATAAAGCGTCCGGCGTAGGCCTGCGGGCTGAAGGGTTCCCGGTTCCTTATAGGACAAGGGCACATGCCCGGGTTGCGGGTTCAATCCCCAACAGGGGCGTACAGGAGGCGGCCGATCAATGATTCTCCCTCTCTCCCCCTCTCCCTTCCTCTCTGAAATCAATTTTAAAAAATTTTAAAGAGAGGAAAAAAAACTTCATATTACACAGGTTAGGCTTCCCTCCCCTCCTCTCACTATATGTGGGCAAGGCTGGGATTAGGTAGTTACCCAAATTACTAAAATGGGCAAAGGAAAAAAACAAACGAGAACTGAATGTAAGTGTGGGCATTTCTGAACTGGCGCAGCAGTGATGTTCACTCTGTCCTTTAACGCGTCCTCCTTAGGAGGCGGCGGCAGGCAGGGCGAGTCCCCTGAGACCAGTCCCCCCCTCCCCCCCCACCTGCTGACCGTGAACAAACCGGCAGGCCCGTGGGGTGAGGCGTCCGCTGCCCGCACTCCGCCCAGGCCTCAAGGAGCAACGCCGGACCGGGGCCGGAGCGCAGGGCAGAGGCGGGGGGGGGGCGGGGGGAGGGATGGAGGGGCGCCGCCCCGACGTGAGGCTCGGCAGCGCGCGGCCCCGGACTCACGTTTGTACTCGGCCATCAGCCTCTTCAGCGCCGTCCCCGCCATCGTCGGGGAAACAGCTGTGCCGTCGGACGTCGCCGCAAACCGCTCGTATCCTCCCGCCCCGAGAACCGGGTTACTTCCGGGTCGCTGCCGGAGGCACAGAAGCCCTTCCGGGTCGCGGGGCGCGCGCGCGCAGGGGCGGAAGTGAGGCGGGCTCGCGGAAAGGGGCGGAGCGTGGCCGGGAGCGGAGCGGGACGGTCGTGGGGAGGGGACTGGAGCGTGGTGTGGAGGATGACGAGCGTCTCCGGCCCTTAATGCCCGGTGGCTCGGCCGCTTCTACCAACCCCCGTTCCTGTAGGGCCTGGTCTTCCCGAAGATTCCAGGGTTGCGTGCTTGGCAACCGTCTGTTCCGTCACGGTGGCCCCAGGAGGGTCCAGGGGGGGACGGGGACGAAGGACAGCGCGACGACAGAGCGGGAGAGGCCAGCTGGGCAGAGGTCATTTAGACAGGGTATTTTTTTTTAATATATTTTTATTTTTTTTTTAGTTTTTTTTTTAATATATTTTATTGATTTTGTACAGAGAGGAAGGGAGATAGTTAGAAACATCGATGAGAGAGAGTCATCGATCAGCTGCCTCCTGCACACTCCCTACTGGGGATATGCCCGCAACCAAGGTACATGCCCTTGACCGGAATCGAACCCGGGACCCTTCAGTCCCCAAGCCGACGCTCTATCCATTGAGCCAAACCAGCCCTGGCTAAATATATTTTTATTGATTTCAGAGAGGAAGGAAGAGATAGAAACATCAATGAATCAATTGATCGGCTGCCTCCCGCATGCCCGCCCCCGGGGATGAGCCCTGGACTGGACTCCAACCCGGACCCACCATCCGCAGGCTGAGCTCTGTTCACTGAGCGAAACCAGCCCGGGCCGGGGATATTTTAACGACACCGGGAGGAGGGGGCCACCGCCGCTAGGAGCCAGTTCCTGACGCGGCCAAAGGAGACGGGCTCCTGAGACAGTGACGCCCCAAATTCCGGTGGGAGGTAGGTTTGGAAATTTATGCACCTTGTGCATTATTCCAAATGCACAAGGTGCATAAATTTTGAGAGAAAAGATAATCAGGTGAGGTTAGTACAAACTGAGAGGTGAAGGGGAGCTGGGATATAGCACGTCCACTCTCACCTGATCACGATGGTGGTGAGTTTATTCTGCCAGCGAGGCCAGAACTCAGGGTGCCCAGACTCGGCCCCAGGGAGGGAGGACCCAAGCCTCGGCCCGCCTGCTGACCAGCATGACCTGGTTTCTGAGTAGCAGGTGTGATATGTGAGGGCTTCCTAGGACCTAGGCAATCACACGGAGGGGGCCAAGTTCAGAATGAAAGTAGCGTCTTTTGTGTCTTTGACAGCTGAAGTTCTGAGGTATAAAAGGTCTCTCACAGTTGAACCCGGCTGAAAGGAGCTTTCACCCCAGTATCTTGCTTCCCCAGCTGTGAGCTTGTGCCAGAACAGTGAACAGCAGGTGACATTTACTGGGGTTTTCCTGGGAGGGAGGGTTCCTGGGCTGAGGGACTTTCAGTGCTGAAATGGGACCCTGGCACCACTAACAGGATAAACAGTGCCTATCGCCTCCTACAGCATCAACTTAACTCTTAAGATCCTAGGAGTTAGACTTATGTAAATATATTTTCTTAATTTTATTGATTTTAGAGGAAAAGAGAAGCATCCATTTGTTGTTCAACTTATTTATGCATTCACTGGCTGATTTTGTATGTGCCCTGACTGGGAATCGAACCCACAACGTTGGCATATCAGGATGCTCTATAAACAATTGAGTTACCCAACTGGGGCCTGTAAATATTTTTAAAATATTAATACCAAGAGGTATTATTCCAAATGCACAAGGTGCATAAATTTTGAGAGAAAAGATAATCAGGTGAGGTTAGTACAAACTGAGAGGTGAAGGGGAGCTGGGATATAGCACGTCCGCTCTCACCTGATCATTTACGCCAGCCAAAGTAGATGGGTTCAAGCCCAGTACAGGGACTCGGTAATTTGCCAGGTGCCCCGGAGAGTGGAGGTGGGGGGCATTGCATCCGCAGAGGAGCCCTTGCCCTTAAGTTAGGAGAGTGAGGCTGTGTGTTTGGGACATCAGAGCAGTGCTGCTTGAATTCCCACCCACTGCACTGACCGAAGAAAGAAAGAACAAGGCATGTCCCTGAGGTTATCTTTCCTCTCAAAATGTATGCACATTGTGCATTTGGAATAATACCTCTTGGTATTAATATTTTAAAAATATTTAGAGGCCTCATTGAGCCTTGCTGAATGGTCATTACAAAGGTTGAACTGTGACAGTCAGCCGCAACCTCCAAATGCAGTATTTAATACAAGAGACAGAATATCAAACTATATTTACTGTTTACAGTAGTAAAGGACAACAAAGAATGTACAAATTGTGAACAAACGGCAGAGCCAGCAGACACCACATCCACACCCCAACAGCAAAACACAAAGGAAAGGCAAGATTCCGGGCAAGAGATGATGGTCCAGGTCGCACTGTCCAGGTACCAGGAGGCAGAGCAGGGCCATCAGACAGCAGGGGTTCCATACAGAAGGGCAGGAGAACTGAAAGTGTAATAGGTCTAGGTTCCAAAATGGTTCACAGAAATGAAACCACAGCTAACTCAGGAAAGCACATGAAGTCTGTGAGAACAACATGAAGTCATCTGTGCATAGGGCCCATCTGTAATCACACTTAGAAGTAGCTCTTTGACACAAAAAAGTCACTGCAAAATCATCTATACTTAATTGTACTTATTTATATAGAAACCATAATTATTCATCAGAAGCAAATACTGGAAGAAATCTGAGGGCACAAGTACTGCCAAGTGAGAATCATGGCAATTGTTTTCCTCTATTAAAAGGGGACCCCTGAAACTAATAGAAAATAATAGTGAATATAAACTAATTGAAAAATTAAAAAAAAAAAAAAAAAAAAGGAAAAAGCCAATTTGTTGCACCCTGCTTTGCCCATGCACCATCAGGGGTCCTGGGCCTGCCCTGCCCAAGGAGAACTGGAGGAACAGAGTGCCCAGGCCCGTGGTACTGAGGGACTCGGTTACTTCTCACCTTTTCAAAAGCATTCCAGTACCCTCCCTTCAACTTGACCATGTCCTCACAAAACTTAAACTTGCAATATTTAGCACTGAAAAAATCTACAAGAAACAGTAAGTGGAAGTTTGTCTCCCCACAATGCCCCAGAACAGCCCATAGAAGCACCCCCACTTTGGTGATGTGAGCTCTCTACAATGGACTAAGCAGGGGGGTTTATTCAATACCCGGGATAAGACCCCTGTCTAGACTAAAAAGGGACATTCACACAACAAGCTTCGGGGAAATGTGGTGAGAGGGGGAAAGACAAAAAACGAGAGCAAAAGCAAACCCCCAAAACCTTGCAACTCATGTTCCTAAACAGACATGACACTGGCTGGCCCGATTCAGGTAAGGATTCGTCCCTGCAGACAGTTTTGAGTTGCACCCGCAGTATGTCAGAGAGGAAAGGGATTTTTGTGGATGTCCTTGGTTCCGGCAGACTCCTTTGTGATTGGCATGGTCACGTGTTCACTATTCAACAGCAAATGCAAGGACGGTGACAAAGTGGGCCGGTCCCACTACAGACCACATCCCAAGAGGCAGCCAGTCGCCCGTGAGCCTCCTGTTTGCTGCTGGAACACGTCGATGGTATCTTCATCCTCCATCTCCAACTGGCAGGGTCGACGTGATAGGCACAGAGAGAGAGGGGACATCTGTTAGTTTTCTCGCCATCACAGGAACAAAACTGTTCAACTGAACACACATGTGCACAGCACTGTCTCCCTCGCACAGGCGCACAACACCCACCACACCTCTGCTCCGGGGGCTGCTCCTGGGTCGCTAGGTCATATCAGAGAGAAGAGGCTTTGTTTAGGATTCCCGACAAGCTACTATTCAGCAGCCTTCCCCTAAGAAAACCCACAAAAGAGTATTCAAAACTAGCTTTAACTGACAGAAAAACGAAGTCTCATTAAAAAAATGAGCAAGTATCTAACATTGTTAGTGAAAATTAGACAAAGTCAGAGCCCCATTAGGAACATCCACAGAGTGGCGCCAAGTCCTCACGACTAGCAGGGGCCACATCATAACAAGTACAGTGGGTGGCAGTTCCAACGCAAACCAAATCAGAAAAGAACCCACGTGGTAAGGGACCAGCTGCAGGCTGTACCCCTGGTCCCCGTCCCTCCCCTTCAAGATCAGGTTAGAGAAGGGCAAAAGCTCCCCACCTGCTCCTCCCAACACCACGGGGATGGACATCTGCCCTGATCTTTGTCCAGTCTCAGAACAAAAGAACTTCCACCAAATCACAGGCCTGGAGGCAGTAACATTTCCCAGAAATGGAGGAGTAGGTCCAGGTTAGCGGGCCCTGTGCTGCTGTAGACACTATGTGAACAGGAGCCAGAGTGACAGGCCGGAGCAAAGCGTTCCAGCCCCCCACCCCAGTGCAAACCCCCAGAAATCCTCGGAGCCATCCACCATCTCACAGCAAAAGAGTTCCTCAACTGAGCAGAAATATGTCTCCCTTTCACATGCACCAGCCCAGTGGATTCTGCCTCTGTGGAGGGCAACACTGAGTGAGACCCCAACAGTGGGTGACTCTGGATCACAAGGTCACCCAGCTGATGAATGATAAGAACCACAGACTGGCCAAAACCGGTTTGGCTCAGTGGATAGAGCATCAGCCTGTGGACTGAAAGGTTCCGGGTTTGATTCCAGTCAAGGGCATGTACCTTGATTGCGGGCACATCCCCAGTGGGAGGTGTGCAGGAGGCAGCTGATCGATGTCTCTCTCTCATCGATGTTTCTAACTCTCTATGCCTCTCTCTTCCTCTCTGTAAAAAAATCAATAAAATATATTATAAAAAAATAAAAAAATAAAATAAAAAGAACCACAGACTGAACCTCGGCCTCCAACTCCATCTGAAACTTTTCACTGTGGGGCCTTGCAATGCAACATGCTGGGCTGACACTGAGACTGTTGGGAGGAGGTCGCAGGCTTAACAAAAGCTGACTCCTGGCTGAAATGAAGGGGTACACTCTCCTTTCCATCCACACTCCTATACACACATGCTTACAGGGCACAAGAAGCAAGCCAGTAAGTTGGCTACAAATTAACTAACACTACAAGTTCAATGTCCAGACCACCAGGGGGTGTGCATGCATCTGCCCATCTTGCCTAGACCCCTCTGCTGAGCCCCCAGCCCACCTGCTGCACCTCCCAGCCTGGAGGAGAATGTCCAACAAAGGACATTCTCATCTGAAACACTAAACTGCCCAATTAAAATGTTAAATATTCTAATAACTAGGAACATTAAAAAAAAAAAAAAAAAAAAAGTAAGGTATCCCATATAAACACCCATCAGTAGCTCCCCAACAAGAATATTTCAAACAGCAATTAGTCAAATGCAGGTCGAAGTGGCCTCAAGACACCGAAGCTGCTTTCATACCTGGGCCGGGGTGTCTGCTTCATTAATTGGCTGCCCATCGAACCTGAATCTAATCTGTCTCATTGACAAGCCCTAGAAAGAAAAGGCAAATAGAATTAAGTATTTCTAGGTAATGCATTAATTCAAAAACATCACATATTTACACCAGAATACCAGGATTCTGACCGGAGGCTATCTTTCCATTGGTTTTTAGAGAAGGAGGAAGGAGAGACAGACAGAAACATCCATGTGAGAGAGAGACATAGATTGGTTTGCCTCCTGCACGCACACTGACCAGGATTAGCACAAATGCACTTGAGCTGTAAGGTCATGACACTAACAAAAATAATTACAACTGAAAAGGCTCAATTTACTGGTCACTGTGGGAGGATGCAAGGGAGTCAGCTCGTTACTTTGAAAAATGGTAAAGGGAAAGAATCAATCAAGCGTTTTGTAGAAATCAAACTGGGAGGAGGGAGGTGTCTCCACAGCATTTTCCAGCTCCTGTGTGAAGAAGCCAAGGAACTGCACTCAAATTCACTGTTCTGCCATCTCGCAGGAAGGAAGCCGCATACACACTGACCCAAGAGCAGACATGTGGTCACACTCCACCCCCAGAGGAAGAGGCAGCGTTTCGCCTGGCCTGATGGGCACCATCTGGAGATGAAGAGGGCTGAAGAGAAAAGGCCACCAAGGAGTGAAGACACACATAAATGCGCACACACACACAAATATGCACACACGTGCATACCAACGCACACGTGTGCAGACACACATGCACACTTCCAGGACAGTGGAGCCCTGAACAGCCTGGACACGGGGTGACGGCAGAGTCCCACCTGCCGCTCGCAGTAGGCCTTCATCAGCTTGCTCAGCGGGGTGTGTCTCTTAATCTTGAACTGGACCACGGAGCCATCTTGCCCAGCCACTTTCAGGTTGATGTGGTCGTTCTCTGTCTTCACTCCCTCCTGCAAGAGACATGACACTGGGCCTCAACACCCAAAATTACCACGACTGTAAAGGGCAAATCTTTAAGTAACTGCTGGGGTTTTATTTTTAAGTCATGAAAAAGCAACCTAATTCTGAAAACTCTCCAGCAATCCAGTCACTCATGTGATGGTTTTATTTTACACGGAAATTGTTTTTAACTTCTACTTGTGAAGCATCCATGTGTCAGGAAATGCAATGGAAAACTACAGAGTTCATAGATTGGTAATTCAAAGAAAAAGAATCTGTTCTATAAATCTAGCAAAACTGAGAACAAGTCCATGTCTGCCACAGATCACTGTGAAGCCGGAGGAGGCCGTGGTATGCCCGTCCTCCAGGGGGAGCAGTTGGTGCAGCAGCAGCTTCCACCTTCCAGCTGTCGAGGCCCGGGTAGTTCAATCAGTCCCACTGGTCAGGGGCACTCACAGTATTTATCTTGTGGAATTCCTGACTCACTCGGCTCCTGAGCAACCACACAGGGAACGGATGCCACAAGCCTGTGTCCTGCAGCAGCAGCTCAGGCTGAGAAGCATTTCCTAAGAACCAGAGAGAGGTGCCCGCAGGTGAAGCGCCGGTGAGGGTCCTGCCGTCACCTGTTACCTGGCTCTGACTGTTTGGGAACGAAGAGTGGCTTATCTTTGAACAAAACAATGAAAGTGACCTGAGTCAATCTGAAAATAAAGACTTGATGGACTTCAAAGTGGTTCTGTACTTTCTCCAGCTGACACGCATGCTCCCTGGTTGGTGCATCCCCAGAAGAGCTGACCATGGCCGGGCTGCTGGCTTTGTGGAGGAGTCAGATCCGCTCTCCTTCCCTCCCTACTGGGAGGGCTGGGCCCTTTGCTCCCCCTCGCCATGTCGCCAGCTGTCCTAACAAAAGGGGCTGGGAGGCAGGCAGTCACATCCTACACATTGTTCGACACTTTGAGTGGGGGTGCCGCTCTCTAGGGAGCTCGGAATGGCCTGAGAAGTGGCCCTAGGAGGCCAGACCCCAGCAAGGAGCCTGAAGGTCATCCTGGGGTGTGCTTACCCCACCGCAGCCTTGGGGGGCAACTTGGCCTGGCACCACTCAAGCCCCCCTCTCTGCAATGTGGACTCGTGTAGGCAAACCCGGTGACACAGTGCGGGGGTGTGGGTGTGGGTGTGTATGAGCGTGCGCTCAGGAACGCAGGGTCCCTCTAGCATACCTTCATTCCCCAGATAGTAAAGATACATTTGCTTCTTTGTTCAAATAAAGGTTTGTGTTTTTTTTTTATAACAGTTATGCATTTATAGAGAAATTGCAAGACATGGAGAACTCCAGTACACCTCCCACCTGTCTCCCCAACGTTAACATCTCACACCCACTATGCCACACTAAGACACCAGTGCTGGCACACCACTACTAATGAAACGCCAAGTTCTTGCTATTTCACCAGTCTTTCCATTAATGTCCTTTTTCTGTTCCAGGATCCAATCTAGGGCACCACACTGTGCTGAGAGATATACTTTCCCAATGTTTTATTGTGTTAAAAAACACTTAACAGCCGAAACTGGTTTGGCTCAGTGGATAGAGCGTCGGCCTGCGGATTGAAAGATCCCGGGTTCGATTCCAGTCAAGGGCACGTACCTTGGTTGCGGTCACATCCCCAGTGGGGGGTGTGCAAGAGGCAGCTGGTTGATGTCTCTCTCTCATCGACATTTCTAAATCTCTATCCCTCTCAATTCCTCTGTGTAAAAATTAATAAAATATTTTTTTTAAAAAAAAGCTAAAAAAAAAAACAAAAAACACATAACATAAAATGTACCATTTTAACCATTCCCAGTGGTATTACATTCATAATGTTGGGTGGCCATCACCAATATCCATCTTCAGAACTCTCTTCATTTTGTAAAACTGAACCTCTGTCCCCACTGAACACTAAGCCCTGGCACCCACCCTTCTGCTTCTGTCTGAATTTGATGACTCCATGTCCCTCATACAAGTGGAATCATACCATGTTTGCCTTTTTGTGACTAGCTTATTTAACTTAGCGTACTGTCTTCAACGTGCATCCATGTCATAGTATGTCAGAATTTCTTTTCTTTAGAAGGCTGAATAATATCCCATTGTATGGATGGACCACATTTTGTATGTCATCCATCCATGAATGCTTGGGTTGCTTCCACATTTTAGCTACAGTGAATAACACTGCAGTGAGCATGAGTGTACAAATATCTCTTGAGACCCTACTTTAAATTACTTTGATTGTGTACCCAGAGGGGGAATTAATTGCTGGGTCATCTGGTAGTTCTATATTAATTTTTTGAGGAACCTCCACACTGTTTACCAACTGCTGCACCAGTTTACATTCCAACTAAAAGTCATGGGGATTCCAATCGCTCCATGTCTTCACCAACACTTGTAGGTTTCTTTCTTTCTTTTTATTTTTTTTAATAGTAACTGTCCCAATAGTTGTGAAGTCTTGATGACTTGCAATTCCCCAATGACTGGTGTTGTTAAGCATCTTTTCATGTCCTTATTGACCATCTTTTTATGTTTTATTTATTGATTTTTTAAAAAGAGAGAGAAAACATTAATTTGTTGTTCCACTTATTTATGCATGCATTGGTTAATTCTTACATGTGCCCTCACCAGAGTTGAAACCCACAACCTTGGCCTATCAGGATGACACTCCCATCAACTGAACTACCCAGCCAGGGCTCTTATTGGCCATTTGTATATCTAGTTTTGAGAAATGTCTATTTAAATCCTTTGCCCATTTTGGGGAAAAAATTTTTTTTCAGTTGTTGAGTTTTAGAAGTTCTCTATATATTCCAAATATTAATCCCTTATTACATATATGATTTGCACCTATCTTCTCCCCTTCTCAGGTTGCCTCTTAACTGTTAATAGCACAAAATTTCTGTAATTTTCATAGTCAGTTTGTCTGTATTTACTCTTGTTGCATGTGCCTATGGCATCATATCCAATAAATCACTGCCATACTCAATGCTGTCAAGCTTTTGTCCTGTTTTCTCCTAAGAGTTTTATGGGGTGAGTCTTACATTTGGGTCCTTGACCCATTTTGAGTTAACTTTTGTATGTGGTGTTACAAAGGGTCCAACTTAATTCTTCTGCATGTGGACAGAGGAAATATTTGTTTTTATAATGAAAAAACATGATTTGTTCAAACAAACAGATGCAAGAACCAAAACACAAAACAAACAGAAACTCTGAATCACAGGGCAGCAGCTGCAGACCAGGCAAAGGAAGGCAGCACTGGGCAGAAGGCCTCACCAGGAACAATGGGGGCACCAGCTCCCACAGGGAGCACATACAGCCAGGAAAAGCCCCAGGTACCTTTCCGCTCCAGGAGGGACCAATGGCTGTCCCCGACCCCGGGGAACTCCTAATAAACAAGGAGTAAGAGAAACCCAAAACTAGACACAACGACCACGATTTACTGCTGACCCACAAGGCCTTCCTTAGGCAGCATGATGGCCTGGGAGTGCGCCTGCCCCTCCTCGCCAAGACCAGAGCAGAGGGCTCCTCAGCAGGCACAAAGGGCACTGCAAACTGTTTATCCTTTTGGACACAGTCCAAACAAGTTTGTTCAACTGAAAGGACCCTGGAAGTTGACCATGTGGAAGAGTTAAGTTTAAACCACTGGAGAAGTGAGTATAGTGTGTATTTCACTGAATGTAAACTTCAGTAAGAGGAAGCCACCCAGAAATCAAAGAAAGGCATTTATATTTAGCCAAATGACCAGGCTGAGAGGAGTGGTATAAAAGGCTGAGCTGGAACAAAAATGTACAAAGCAAAGGCGGCTCCAATTGTAGTGCAATCTTGACTCAAGGCAGGGCAGGGAGCGGGCTGGCTTCCACATCAGCCAGCGGGCACACGCCTTGTTTACTTAAATGAGGCATGCCTGCGAGTTTGACATGATTGAGGGCTGCAATCTCTAGTACCAGGCTGGTATCAGAAGCCTGCGTGCAAAGCATTCAACTCAACAGCAGACCTTCCTCTGTCAATAAACAAACCCAGACCAAAAGCTTCGGAAACATCCTTTCTATGTTATATAATGAAAGGATAATATGCAAATTGACTGAACAGCAGAACAACCGGGAGCTATGATGTGCATTGACCACCATAGGGCAGATGCTCAACACAGGAGCTGCCCCTTGGTGGTTAGTGCGCTCTCCCTTGGGGGGGGGGGGGGGGTGCCAGGCAGCCACCAGCCAGGCTGATGGCTGGTGAGCACAGCAGTGGTGGCTGGAGCCTCTCCTGCCTCCTTGGCAGCACTAAGGATGTCCAACTGGGTCTTAGGCCGGCTCCCCCATCCCCCAAGGCCCGCCATCAGCTGCCAGACTACAAAAGGGTGGGCTGAGGGACCCTCTCCTCCCAGTGCACAAATGTCGTGCAGCGGGCCTCTAGTGTTTTTAATAAGAGTAGTTAGCACAACAGCTGTGGACAGTCCCCACAGACTGACAGCCGTTTTAAAACCCTAGAGCGTCAATTTTCAGCCAGTGTGCCACAAGAATTTTTAAAACTTGCAACCTGACTATTTAGTCAGGAGCACTGACCTCTTTTCCCTTAGACAGTCAAATAAAATGACCACAGTCAACAACACAACAATCATCTGGTGTGAATGAATCACAATTATACCTATTTTTTGGTCAGATCAGCAAAAAATGTAGTTTTTGGTGTGCCGCAGAATTTTAGTAATAAGTTTATGTGTACTATGAGATTTTAAAAAGATTGAAAAATCACTGTGCTAGGCCCTGGCTGGGTAGCTCAGTGGTTGGCAAGCCATCAGCATAGCCAAGGTTGCAAGTTAGAGTACAACCAATGAATGCATAAATACATGGAACAACAAACTGATGTTTCTCTTCCTAAAAACAATAAATAAATAAATAAATAAATAAATAAATAAATAAATAAAATTTTACATGAGCGGGGGGGGGGGGGGCGCTAAAAAGAAAAAAATAAATAGAAAATTTAAAAAAGAAGCCCTGGCCAGAGGTTAGAGCAAAGACCTCCTACTGAAGGGTCCTAGATCGACTTCCAGTCAAGGGTTGGAAGGTTCAATCAGGCCTGGCTGGGGCGTGTGCGGGAGGCAACCAATCCATGTATCTCTCTCACATCGATGTTTCTTTCTCCCTCCCTCCCTCCCTCCCTTTCTCTCTAAAAACCAATTTTTAAAAACTATCTTCAGATGAGGATTAACAGCAAACCAAAAAAATCGCTGTCCTAGAGAAGCGCACGCCAGGGGGCGCTACAGGGACCAGTGGGTCCAGCGACGCGAGGCCGGGCGCACCCTGGGGGACAGACAGCAGAGAGGAGAGTGGGCGCACCCCGCCGGGCTGTATGGGAAAGGCGACAGTGCGCAGACAGACCGACCACCGCCCCCCTTCCCAGAGGATCGCAGACGTGGGACCCACAGCGCGGGGCCTGGTGGGGGTCGGCCTCCGCGATGGAGAAGGTCTTAGGGAGGGGCGGTCCCCGAGGGGGGTCAGAGCGGGAGAGAGTGTCCGAAATCCCCGGAACTGGGGTCAGGGCGGGAGAGAGGGTAGGGCCCCCGGCGGCAGACTCCCGAGAGAGGGGAGTCTCGATGCGGCAGGGAGGTCCCGAACACCAAGTGTCCCGGCGGGAAAGGGGCGGCAGTGGCGGGGGGTCGGGGCGAGGAGGGTAGGCTCCGCGGACCCCGAGCTGGTGACGCGGGGCGAGAGGTCAGACTGCGCGCGGGAATCGGAGGGGGCGGGCCGAGAGCGAAGGAGGCGGGGCCTAAGCCGGGTGTGGGAGCGGCGGGGGCGGACCCTAGGCGAAGGGCGGGGCCTAAGCGAAGGGCGGAGCGGCCTGGACCGTGGGGGCGGAGCCTGGGCCGGGGCAGGGCGGAGCCTGGCCGGGCGGGGGGAGGGGAGCCCGGCGGCGCGACTGCGGGGGGAGGGGCGGGAAGCCCGGGCGCCGGGGCGGCCCAGCCGGCATCACGGTCCCCGGCCCCGGGGGGCCGTGCGGGGCCGTGGAGAGTGTCGGAAGCGCGGAGGGGGCTGACGGGAGCGGCGCGGGCGGGGGTCGTGCGCGGAGCCCGGCCCGCGCCCACCGGCCCTTACCTTGGGCTTCTCCTCGGACATGGCTGCGCGCTGTGGCGGGTGGCGGGGCGGCGGCAGGGGATGAGGCAGCGCGGGAGCGGGCGAGTCACGCTCTCAGCCCGCCGCTCTCCCGCCGCAACTGCCCGCGGGGCCGCGCTTTGCCCCCCAAATCCTGGCGCGCCGGTTGGCCGGCGCGAGGTCACGTGGCGGATGCGCGTGCACGACGCGCGCGCCCGGGGCATGGAGCGCGCGCCCGGTGGGGCCCGAGGTTCCCGGCGATTGGGAGTGCGTCACGGGGCGGGGCCCCGCGCCATCCCCGCGCCCCAACGCCGGGGGGCGCTCAGGCACTGAGGGGTGGGGGTTGGGCGCGCTGGGACCTCCGGAGCCCTCAGGGCATGCAGGGCGGGGTCGCTCCGGACGTCGAGCTAGGGAGGGGTTTGGGGAGGGAAGTGGCCTACAAAGAGATAGGCCTGGAGGCCAGGCCAGGTGCAGTCAGTGGCCAGGACTGGTGCACTCTCTTGGGGTCAGTGGGCCTGGGTGCTTCCTGGTAGAGGTGCCTCACCCAGGTGCCCAATGTCAGGTCATCAAGGACTACAAGAGGGAATCAAGAGGGCGGGCCAAGGCTGACCCTTCCATCGGCTCCATCCACCGAGGACACTGCATTTGTTCCTTGTGAAGCCTACACACACTCAGGTCTGGCCTTCACCCTGAGTTGCAAGTGGACAGGGCCATAAACAAGGATTGGGGATGTAGAGTGTCTTTCTCCATCCACTGCTCACTCTGATCTTAGCCAGGCTTCCCTCTGAGGCTTCCTCTCCTTGTGTCTAGTCCCCATTTGAGGTACTGAATCTGGCAAGTGAAAGCTGGTCACCTGGAGGATATGGTGGGATGGGTGAAGGAGATCCTCCTGTGACTATTTTGCTAACATTTCTGGAGTGTACACCCTGCACCAGATGCTAGTACTCTGCACCTAATCCTCACAGCAACCCATTTCACAGATGAGGAAACTGAGGTGTTCAGAGGTTAAATTCCATATCTGAGGCCCCAGAGTTAGTAAGCAGTACGGCTGGGATTTGAAAGCAGACTGTTGGCCACTGAGATTGACCAGTGTGCCCTACACCAATCAGGGGAAACCCAGGGTTAGACTCCCACCAAGATGGACCACGTGGGTGCTAAGGCGGACACTGGAAATGTGCTGGAGGAGAAGAGTCAGGAGGTCCTTTCAGTACTTTGAGATGCACATTCTTAGAAAGCCCTTGCTCTTCCTACCCTTCCTGCCTGTAATCCTAATTCTCTTAGGAGAAATGGACCCGTGATGGCCAACATTTATCACTCAGAGTGTGCCAAGCATGGTATCAAGCTTGCATCATCCCATTAAAGCCTCAGAAAATTGAAGTAGTGATCCCGATTTCGTCAATTAGGAAACTAAGGTTTAGTGAGAGGGTGGACTGCATAGGATCAGGCAGCTGGGAAATAGCAGAGCCTGGATATGAATTTAAGTGACAGAACCATTTCCAGCTTAAGACTGAGCCAACTGGGTTCCACTCGTTTCCTGTTAACATCTCTAAACCATAGAACCAAGTTTTCGTGGTCTCTAATTTCACAAACCACCTTGACTCTTAAAAATTCAATTTCTTGGCCAGAGATACATTGACGAGAGGGGAAGGGGGCTCCTCAAAACGGAGTTGTCATGTCACAGGTTGACAAAGTCTCTCTGTGAAAGGTCCCCTCTCACCCGGGTCCAAGGATTTGGTCCCTTTCACCCGGGAATCTGGACTGTGACCCTCCTCTGCCAGAGGATCCCTGGGTAGCATGACGGACTCAAGCTGTGCTTCTGGCAGAGGGGAGCCTTCAGAAACCAGCCCCTTCCAAGACAGAGATGGACAGTGGGAATCAAGCCCCAAATTGTTGGCTATGGTGTGGCTTTGTGTAGCAGTGTCCGGATCCATCAACAACCTAAGACAGTATCAATTACAAAATATAACATCATACATGCTACATACACATGAAGCTATTACGGATGAAAAACACATCCTGGTTTTAGACTTAATTTGTGATAAATATATAATTTAGAATTGATACAGCATCTAAATGTGTTACAATAAGAAATTAGACTATAGCCCACACATGTAATGAAAGGTTTTGTACATATTTTAAATATGTAAAAAAAAAAAAAAAAAGAGTAGTTGATAACAGAAAAAAATGCTCATATGATGATAACTTTTTTTTTAAGCAAATTATAAAATTACTGTGGCCCTGGCCAGTGTGGCTCAGTTGGTTGGGCATCATCCTGTGCACTGAAAATTTGCCAGTTCGATTTCAGGTCAGGGCACATGCCCAGGTTCTGGGCTCCATCCCCAGTAAGAAGCATACAGGAGGCAGCCAATCGATGTTGCGTTATCACATCAATGTTTCTCTCTCCCTCTCCCTTTCTCTCTCTCCCTATAAATCAATAAAATATTTTTTTAAATAGAAAATACCCTATTGTGGTTTCTGGACAACCAGAAAATCTGTATTAGATGCTTTGAAAATCTGAAGAAATCAGATAGCTACCAAAACAGAGAAAAAATTTCTCTGAGGGGCAACGATCCCACAAAGAAGGGAAGTGATTTTTACCTTTGAGACATCTGGAGATTAGTATGATGTACTATTCAGCTCAGGCTGCCATGACAAAACACCACAGACTAAGTTACTTAAATAACAGTCACTTTTGTTCTCACAATTCTGAAGGCTGGAAGTCTGAGATCAATGTACCAGCAGGGTTGATTTCAGGTGAAGCCTCTCTTTGGCCTGCAGATGGCCACTGCTTCCGCGTGTCCTTCCCTCTGTATGTGCATGGAGAGAGGGGGAGTAAGAGAGAAAGAAAAGAAGGAGGGATGGAGGGAGGGAGAGAGGGAGGGAGGGAGGGAGGGAGGGAGGGAGGGAGGGAGAGAGAGAGAGAGAGAGAGAGAGAGAGAGAGAGAGAGAGAGAGAGAGAGAGAGAGAGAGAGATAAGGCAGTCCATAATGTATGCAATGGGCAAGAAGTTAAAACACTGAGGACAACTTTTGAGTCTCATAGAATGGAAGAGACAGTAACTGGGCATGGCCAACAGCAAGATAAATTGAGGGGAAGAGGCGAGGCTCTGATAAATAATCTGAACCTTGAGCTAGATTACTGAGGACTTCAATAGAGAAGTAAGGCTGAGGTGTAAATAGATCAGTCCTCACAAAGAGTGAAACCCCAGCACCCAGGCAGTTCACTCCCAAATTGGGTTAAGCTGATTTGCTCTCCTTCCCATTATCACCTGAAGCAAAAGGAAATTCTCTGGGGGAAAATTACATCAGCCATGGCCTCAAATTAACTAAAATATTGTCATACACGGTATCCAGAATTGAATAAAAGTTTACAAAGAGAACCAAAGACAAATGATCCAAAATCAAGAACTATACTTATATATTAAATATATATCTAAAACTCACAGGAAAAAGGCATTACCAGATACCAACTTGAAAGTCACTTTAAATAATGTATTCTAGGAAATAGATTATTCCATACAAATTTTCAGCAGAGAAGTGGAATCTATAAAAGAGAATCAAATATAAATTTGGAAACAAAAATACAATCACCAAAATTATGGGGGGAAAAATGGCAGTAGATGGGTTTAACAGATTAGACACAATGAAAGAGAAGATTATAAATTGGAAGACATGTCAAAAGAAAATATTCAGACAGAAACAGAGAAAGAAGTATGGAAGATAATAAAAGGTCAAACATACTTGTAAAATAAAATCCCAGGTGTGAAAAGAATGTAACAGAAGCAATATTTGAAAAGATAATAAAAGAGGATTTTTAAAAATTCACCAACAATAACACATCACAGATTACAGAGAAACTACTAACCCAAAGCAGAATATATATATATATATATATATATATATATATATATATATATGGAAAACTACACCTCCATAAATGATAGTAAGATTGCTGAAAACCAAAGACAAAGAGAATATCAGCCAGACATTTAAAGGAGAAACATAAACACTTACATCAGACTTTGCAATAGAGACATGGAAGCCAGGTGACAATGGAATAACATCTACAAAATGCTGAAAAAAATATAACTACCTACATTAAGTTTTATAACAATTAAAATTTTGAATAAAAGTGAAATAAAGCAAATCATCAAGAATTTATTGTCAGAAAGCATGCAGTAAGGGAAATACTAAAAGAATATCTTCTGTCAGAGGTAAATTGATCCCAGGTGGAAGCATAGAAATACAAAAGGTTTACTGACCCAGCAACAGTAAAACAACAACAATAATATCTTCTGAACACCCATCTACTTATTCATCCACCCATTTACTCACCCACCTATTCACCCCTTCACCCACCCATCCTCCCACCCACCCATCCATCCATGCACCCATCCACCCACCTACGCATTCACCCAACCATCCATCACCCCAACCATTCATCTATTAACCCAACCATCCATTATCCACCCATGTACTCCCATGTACTCATGCACCCATCCCATCTATTAATCTATTTCATAAGTGCTTGCTGTCCTCGTGGCAGGTGCTGGTGCTGTCCTGTAGCTCAGCGCTTCCTTGAGAGGTCCTGCTGCTTGTGATCCGCCCTTCCTGTCTGCCCACCCTGTGGAGTCTAAGTCCCAGCATCAGACGGACAGAGAGCCTTATAGGAATGGTATCAGACATATAACCCAAAGATTGTAAATTGTGAATCAATTCCCTGTAATAGATCCATAGAAGACGGAGGGACTGATTGGTGGGTCAATGGATAAATGGGTGGACAGATGGTTTGGGGATAATGGGAGGGCAGATGGACAGACAGAGATACTGCTGGTTCTGGTTTGTGGTTAAACCTACATTAGGTGCCAGAAGAATCGAATAGTAGATCTGAGTTAGAGAACAGATCGTAGCAAAGGAAGGCTCTTCAGGTAGGTGGCCAGGCAAAGCTCACACACCTGAAATGGAGTGAGTGAAGTCAGGAGCTGCCAGGATGCCTGGAAAGGTGCGCCAGGTGAAGGCCTTGGT